ATCATTTACTATTTTTTTATTCAATTTTGAATTTCTACAGTGTTTGTGGAATATGAGAAACAAAAATAAAGAATTTTTAATATTATTTAAACAAGAAAAGGAAAATTATGGACATTATAAGTTGATTATTTTTCTTTAAATAAACTTTCTGTATGTAATATTAGATCTATTTTTTTGCTTACAAGATAGTGTAACTAATAATTAATAATAATACAATGTAAATGTAAGCTTATGAGTGAGTACAATTAATCTGAAACCAAGTTCCAACGATTTGTGTATTTGAAAGATCTGGCAAAGCACAAGAATGCTAGCAAACCAGCTGCATTAACTCCAGCAAGTAACCAATAGAAGTAATCTAAATGTGCCCCATTCGCATTATCCGAAAACCAACCACCTTGGCCACCTTGATCACTAGTTACTCTCTGAATTATGAATATAAGGAAACTGCTCAAGAAATTCCCAATCCCCAATATACTAAGGTATATTGACAGTGCCACTGTTTTCAATCCACAAGGCACCTCTTCATAGAACAGCTCCTGCAATCCGATTATGGTGAATACATCTGAAATACCGAATATTATATACTGAGGTATTAGCCACCAGAAACTCATCGGAACCTCTGCTCCTCCCAACTCAGCTAATCCGTACTGTGAAGCAGTTTTTAGTCTCTTTCTCTCGACTAGTGCTGCTATCACCATTGAAACTGTGCATAACAACATACCTGTTCCGATTCTCTGGAGCTGTGTTACCCCTGATGGATTTCCGGTTGCAATTCTCCCCAATGGAACAAAAACACGATCGTAAATGGGGACGAAAATGATTATTGTGAGACCAATTATGTACTGAAGTGAAGCAGCCGGTACATCAAAGCTAGAACCGATTGATCTGTCCATTGTGATTCCTTGTTTGGTGAAGAGAGTCGAGGGCTGAGATAAGACAATGCCAAATCCCAAAGATGAAGCCCATAGTGGGATTAAGTTGATTAGTGCTTTTGCCTCTTCCACCTCCTGCATGATGATGCCAACTTCTCCGTATTCCACCGAACCATCAGGCGCAAGCAATGCTTTGTTAAGAAACCTGCAGCAAGTTATAAATTTTCAATTTATATATCGACGAAAATGCATGCATTGATCAGTTGAAGATCATAATTAATAGCTAGTTAATTACTTGAATTGCTGAGAACGTAGATGAGGCACTGTATCCTGCTCCTCGTTATTGTTATTGTTACTAGTGGAAGGGATAACTCTCCAATTCATTGCCGCTTTAATGAAGACTTGAGCAACTCTTGAAATGGCACATTTCTCGTCTCTTTTGATTCTATAGCGATAAGACTTGGTTCCAAGCAAGAATATTGACAGTGCAATTGCTGCAGAAATGCATGGGATCCCAAATCCAATGGCCCAACTAATGTTATCCTGAATGTAATTTAAGACCAATAGAGCTGCCAATGGACCAGCACATGAGCTAAAATACCACCAATTGAAAAAAGAGCTTCTGCTTCTCAACTCTTGTGGATGATTGTCATCAAATTGATCTGCACCAAACGCCAGAATGCAAGGCTTGTATGCACCTTGTCCCAGAGCCATCAAGTACAGGGACCCAAAGAATAACAGAACATCGAGCTCATTAGGTCGGAAATCAAGGAAGGCAGATGTAGTCAACAGCCCAAGTGCCTAATTAGTTATTTCAAATTAAGTCTCATCATTTATATGATTACGCAGTTTAGATTCATCAACAATCATATTGACTAATAATTAATAAAGAAACATAGCACATAATGAAAATGTTAAATAACAAACACACCAAGATATAGAGCATGGAAGAAAGGACAATGGTTCGGTATCGTCCAAGAAATGACTCGGCCACAAAAGCACCGAGAAGCGGCAGAAGTAAACCAGTGCCAGTCCATATATTTATGCTGGCAGCCGCTGCCGCTGTCGACTGCCCCAGCGGGCCCGTAAGATATGTAATCAGATTCGAACTTATTCCATAATACGCAAATCTCTCCGTCGCACCAGCACCTGCATTAAATTAAATTCAATTCAACACTTGTTCAGCAAATTAAATTCTCCAAAAAAAAAAGGTTGCAGCAAATATTCTAATTTTAAGGCCTCAAATCTCAATGCAATGCATGCATGTCAAAACCCAAAGTTATTTCACAAACAACCAACCTATGATGTAACATGCAGATCGCCAGTAGCCCGATTGAGATCTTTTGGCGGGTCGACCCTCATGATCCATCATTCCGTTCACAATACCATTTTCTGCTTCACCATTCTGACAACAGACAATGGTGTCCGAAGAAATAAACATTGCAATACTTCTTGAGAGTCCAGATAGTATTAGAGAGAGACACTACTGTAGAGTTGTTTGCGGAAAACAAACTCTGGAACTGAAAAAAAGCCCACAGAATTTGGAGGTGGCAGGCAAATTAAAGCCTAGTTTTACGGCATGGCTTTTTGACTTGTCCTTACATTTGCATCATGTATACGTGGATAGAGTTGTTAGTGCATGCAAACCTACAGTACAACACCTGGTGCGTCCCATTAATTTTTTTTTTAAGCTTGTGGATTTAATGTTTACATTACAACTCCTTGGACAAGTGGGCTACGTCTATTGCTAATTTCAACCAGCCCTGTCCTTCCTTCAAATTCAAATTGGGCCATCTACATTCTGTCCATTTCCACAATAGACAGCAAAAATGAAATAATACTTGTTGTTTATTAATCATCATTTATCAGGTACAATTAATGTAATGCTTCATCATGAAACCTAAAATTTTCTTCTCCTTTCCCAAACCGTCTTCTAGCTAATTATCAACGACTACCTAAAATTTGACCTGTTGCATGTAAAAATATGATTTAGCAAAATATAGGTAGGCCATGAATGCCACCACACTGAGGCCAGCAAGTAACCAATAGTAGTAGTCAAGATGAGCCCGGTTCAAGTTATCAGAGAACCAACTGTCTTGATTTTCTCCTCAATTATAATTATCACAAAACTACTCAAAAAGCTCCCCACACCAAATATGCTGAGGTACAGAGCAAGTCCGATGCTTCTCAAGTCACTGGGCACCTGATCGTAGAAAAACTCTTGTATAGTGAAAACTTCGTCTGCAACTCCAAACAACAGATATTGAGGTATCAACCAACATACACTCATTGGAACAGTTTCTTTTGGCATATCCACAAGCCCATATTCTGACGTTTCCTCTCAACTGTCGCAGCAACTACCATACACACAGTAGAAGAAACTCTGCCAACTCCAATCCTCTGTAGCATTGTTATGCCAGCTGGATTCCCAGACAAACTTCTGCGAATTGGTGTCAGAACCTGGTCATACATGAGAATCCAAATGACAACAGAGAGGTTGATGAAAGTTTGAAGTGCAGCAGCTGGTACCTCAATGCTTGAGCTTAGCCTCCTGTCCATGGTCACGTAAAGAAGGTGAATGCCTGTGCAAACACAATTCCAAATACTAAACATGAAGACCAAATTGGAATGAGCCTCAGAACCCCTTTCGCTTCTTCAACTTGGCGCACATTACCCCAAAGCTTTGTATAAAAACGCGAAACATGCATATTTAGTTAGCCATGACATCTTCCTTTGTAGTTGGTATGGAAACTTCAACTGATACGAGTATGATTATTTCTATGCAAATAAGCTCTCCAACAATTTCCTTTCCACACAAATTTTGGGAAGAACTTAGGGAATTTGTCCAAGTCATGGTATATGGAGATAAAGAATAAGA